GGATGAACTCATACCGTGAGTTATATTTTACCAATATTATTTCTCTTGGAGTAAAAAAACTCGATATATCACTCGCTCGCTGTGCTCTCTCGTGAGATATCGAGATGATAACGAGAGAGTAATTCCATATCCACAAGCCTCCATGTATTATTTTGTTTACTATGTACGAACATAGGCCTTTACTGATAGGAAAGGCGACTTTATTAAGGAATAAAAATTTGCTATCTATTCATTAAACCGACCAAGTGGCGCGAAAGGCGAGTGACGTGTAAGCAGCTGATTGGCCACTTCGATCAGTGCAGCTTACATATTTTTCCATCAACTTTCCACGAAAATGCATTACGTTTTTTCCAAATCTTTATTTTTCGCTTTCACCGTTACAACTTCATAACTGTTCCAAAAATAATAAAGGTGTACTTTTTGGCGTGTCAATAGCTCCCGCCAAATCGACACTAAATATATTTGCAGTCAAAAGTGAAAAGTCTCCAGCGAAAATCAGTGACGCTATAGATCTCACCCCAATACAATCAGTTTTGGAATGATACATGCAACATTTTCTCTTCCAAACATGAGGATGATTTTGATGTGCATAATTAAAAATTTGGTTTTGTTCGTTCGTATCGAGTCCCGAGAAAGATTAAACGGACATCAACCTTACTGAATTTCATTCACTAACTGCTCTCACACGGAAAGAGAATTTGGTGTTACATCAAAATACTTCCCCTAAGAGATAACTTTCTAGGTTCTCAACGATCACAATTTTGGTTTCTACTCCGTGAGAACAATCTACACATGTTCATCACCGGAGGGAGACGTAAAGCGAAATAACATCCTATCCGCAATATAGTGGCTTTCTTGTATATTTTTTTTTCATAATTTTCCGAGTTTTAATTATAATGTGCCACATATTACATCACTACCTTCTTTACCCAAAGAGTGCCACAATTAAAATCCAATAAAGCTCTTTTCCAAGAAGAATACTTGACTTCTCGTCGTAACTAAAGGAAAAAGAGATTAAACTTGTTTTCTTTGAAGTTGTTCAAGTGTTTTGCTATCTGTGTATGTGTGTAGAAACCCTCGGTGTATTTTAAAGGGGTTTTTAAAGACATGCGGTGTACATGATACTGGAATCAGTTATGTTGTAGTTTCATAGATCCTCTTGGGCAGAAAGAATCAGCTAATTCAAAGTCTGTGATTATATTCTTTATGTCAGTATTGAGAAATGATTCTGTCGCTTTCAACAATACGAGAGATGGGCAATTTTATTAAAAGGTTTTTTTTTATTTGTCACGATGGAGCTTTAAATTTATTTTCTTTTGTTATGTATATTCAGACCTGACACTTGACACTTTCAACATTGATAACTTCAGCAGTATAAAGGATGATGTCTTAGATATTACTTTGTACCTAGTGTATGTTTTGGCTTAATAACGAGAAATCTACAGCTACATGCGGCAGAACTTCCGAAGGCTTAAGACTCGAAGACAATAGTTTTCTTTCGCCTACGTTTCGTCACGAGTAATTAAGATCGATATTTTTCTCATGCGTTCGCCTTTTGTTCCAAATCATTTATATTTGTAAATCTAGTCAATAATCTCTTATCTAATTCACTTACTTATTCAATTCTCACCTTAACTCCTGTGATAATGTGAAAAAAAGTGGACAGAACCTTGGTGGAGGCAAAGAAAATGGTGCAGAAGGTGGTAAGGGATTTCTTTAGGGGGGGGGGGGGGGGTGGAAGAGCTTGGAAAAACTCTATCTGATGTTTGGTTTGGTGGAGGTGGTGGAGCTCCCGGATGGAGAGGTTGAGAAGTAGGAAGAGGAGCAGGAGGAGGAGGAAACTCTGGGGGGGAGGCGTTGGAGATAATGCTTTTGATACCTGTGGGGGTGGGAGAGGCTCCTAGAATGTTGGAAACAATCAGCAGAATGAATGTTGTTACAACACGGCTGGTCATGGTAAGGAGACCATTTCATTATTGTAAAACAGACAGAGCATGTATCGCCAAATCATGAGAAAATGAGGAAATAGAGTAGCGAGAGACTTTCTCCTCCGCAGTAGTTCGTCAGGATGTCAGGCTATGCTTCCCCCGCCCCAGTATAAAGAGTGGCTTTAAAAGGGACTGTGAAATGTTGAGCAGGCAACCGTGGACGATACTCCTACTCTTGTGCGTTGGATCAGCGATGATCTGATCGGCCCAAAATAACGAATATGAAATATAAATATAGAGGCAAGACCGATACAACGTAGATAAGTAAATTTTAAGAGGGACCACTATATTTCGGCTGGCCAAAAGAAGGCTGGTTTGGCCAGCCGAAATATAGTGCTCCGTCTTAAAATTTACTTATCTACGTTGTATCGGTCTTGCCTCTATATTTATATTTAAAAGGGAGCATGATACCCCGGAGAACGACTTCGAAGAGTGCAATACCGCCTTTATATTACTTTCACTCTGATCATTGGGAAACAGCTTTCAGCTCAAGAAATTATCTGTAAGTATATACCATCATAATATGATTAGATTAGATTAATTAGGATATTGATTTAAACCATGACTATTGTTTTTAATCATAATTCTTTTTCTTGCGTACTTTTTTCAGTAAGTGGGGGAGGGTCTAGAGGTGGAGTGGGTCAGGGAGAAGTTGGATGCAGATGACAGACACACTAAACGGTACTAAATGACAGTCCGTTCTTCCATCGTTAAATAAATATTTCTGCATGGTGAGTCGAATTCTTAAGTGTCATCAGTATCCAGTTTCTGCCCTTTCCATTCCGTTCCACTTTAAAAAAAGATATTGAATAGGGATCTTTCTTTAGTGACCTTTAAGATAGTTAGAAGAGATTGCAGGCAAAGTGCCCGTCAGATCGGAATAGTCGGAAATCAACGAGGGGGACTATTAATACCCCAGTCGCTTCATGCTATACAGAAACCGGGATGAGCCTTAGCTCCATTGGCCGCTTAGTTCGGGTAACTAGCGAGCGAGGAGTGAAATGTTGGCAATAACGACTCTCTTATCAGTTTTCGCGCGACTTTAATGGCTATTTTACTGGTATTAATGGTACAAAATCGCCCTACACTTATCACGCATTATATATAGTTCACCAATAAATTTTTTTCGATTCTTATTGGTTTAAATTGATCACGTGACGCGATAGTGTTCATCCGTGGAGAGACACTATGAGCCCATAGTGCCCGTCCGTGGAAAGTACCCGGATGGATAGTACTCATCCGTGAAAAATTTTGAATGGTTTGACTGCCGCGAAGTTAGGCAGATCGGAAAAACAGTGACTTTTCAATTCCGACAGCTAATGTACGGTTGCGACCTACTGACATCTGTGACAGGCTGTACGCATGAATGAATATTTGATTGATATACACTTATTGGGTTTTGATTGTTTTTAAGCTGGCGCGCGCGGATGAAAATTTAGTGGTGAACAATAAAGACAATAGAGTGCTTAGGTCTCGGAACTATCGGCCTGATAGTTCCCCCTTGGAAATTTGATGTTCTTAAAACTAGCATATTTGCCCTCGAAGCTTCGCCTCTCGGGAAAATATTTGTTTTAAGAACATCAATTTTCCACGGGGCAACTATCAGCCGCTGGTTCCTCGACAGAAACACTCTATTGTTTAAATAGCCCCCGTTTAGGTCGATATTTGTTCTCTTTTTAAGAAAACAAAGTCAGCAGATAAAAGCCGGCTTAATAGTCTCACTTCTTTATCTTTATTATTTTACGTGGAACAAAAACAAACTCGATCGTTTCGTAGAATCCATAGAGTGACATAATAAAGCACTGTCCAATTACAAGCATGACGCGTACACTACCCTATTAGTGCTCAAATCGGGTTGGTGATGACCAATCATGTTCGAGAATTTTGCAATAGTTTTGGTTAAAGCTTTATATTGTGTGTGTAATTTGACGGTTAATTTCCCTGACTATGAGCCTAGTAGTTGTCTTGAGCGTCTTCATAGGTGATTGCGCCTCCTCGAGGTTCGAATACGGTACATTATATTAGATTTACTCAGCAAACTTTAAATCAAAACTAATAGTACATTGTAGATGATACTAGGGACTTAATGCAAGGCTATTAATAAACAAAGTTCTCTGGCAAGGATAATATTTGTGAGTTCTTGACTTTAGGGGTAGTGGTGTTGCAATAATATTAAACTATTCTAAATTTCCTCAGCTTCGATGGATATAACTGAAGGGGAGCTACCTTCTAACGATTCTGTGATACCGCGTCGGTGGAGGGTTTAACAAGATAAATTAAATTGGTGTTATCAACTGAGTTGACAATGTAACTTGGTGAAGAGCTGAAGCTCGAATCCAATGCTCGTGGCCAATGTATTTACATGCGAACGATTCTAACTCTCATTTCCCAGTTGATGTAAACAAATAAAAAAAAAGAAAAAGAAAAGAAAAAAAAAAGAAGCTGACAAACAGACGATGCAAAAACTCAAGGACAAAGGCAAGGCTAAAATGACAGCTTTAATGAAGTGAGGGGTCTCTCTTTTCTTGGAGGAAAACGCGCCTCACTAAGATGCCCTCCCCCATACCACCCCCCTGAGTATAACAGTTGGAAGAATTAAGAAGTACAACTGTTATAACCGTGTCAATAAGACCAAAAATTGGTTCATCTGTGGGACAGACACTATAATTATATCACGACTAGGAGGTTTGTATGGAGAAATTTTTGATTAAAGAAAATATTGAAGTTTAGAATTTTGATGTCCCTCAACCCTTTCACGCATCATAGGCTTGTACAAAAACTATAATTCACCATTGTCGGTAGGCTGGGTACTGTCAGGAATGTAAGTCCGGTATTTGGGGCTTACACTATCTAAGATTTTGGATTGATGAAAAATTTTGAGCATACTTTTGGCATAGTGGTATGTTATGAGGGGCCTAGGGTGACGCTCAAAAGTCAGTGGAGCATGATTTATCTGACCCTACCCCTCTAATGTAACGAGGTCAGCGGTTAGTTCATCATTCTAAAGCAAAACATTGGAGTTCGTGACTTCTCAGTGTGCTCACTTCTACCCGTTCGCCCTCGAATTATTGATCGATCGAAGAAAATGCCTCTCACAGTTAGGATAAAGATTCTTCGTGCTTTGTCTGTGATCCAATGCTGGTTAGCTTTGTGGCTGATAGTGCTTGGAATTGTGGAAGTCGCGCGGGTAAAATGGAGATTCAGTGGACTGGGAATGCCCATTTGGACCGGAGTGTTGGTAAGAACATTGTAAACAAATTTGTTTAGCTCGCAATACATCGGTGGATCTTCTTCAAGAAAAAGGTTGCTAGGTTTCTCCTTTAATCAAATAGTTTGTGATTTATTTAATTTCATAAATAATGGTAATTGAATTGAGTGGAGTGCAATTTGGGCTGAAATCATACGCATGATTTCAAAATCGAACGAGCGCACAGCGCAAGTTCGATTTGAAATCACAAGTATGATTTCAGACCAAAATATTGCCCGACACGAGGTTCAATTACCAATTTATTACATCCATTTCGAAATCGCCCAAATACAGGACTTGGTCAATTCAAATATTTTTATTGATGCAGTATTGAGCCGGTTTTTAAATAAGAAGCAGAACCAGAAATGCTTTCACCTCTTATTTTGCATGCAAAACAGAAAGTCTTTGACGTAAGTAAGTAAGTAAGTAACTTTATTTAGCCACATTTCGCATATGAGCGAATGGCTCGTTTAAATGCAAATGTGCTATAAAAATTTGACATAATTTACATATATAAGTAATAAGTAATAGGTAAGAAATAAAAATTAATTATCTAGAATGAATAATTGCTATTTGTGACTAGACTATTTGTTTACAAAACAAACAGCTGCAGTCATACGATGAGGACAACTGTATGTCTTGCAAATTTTTCCTAAATATAGAAAGGGATTCCGACATCCTTATTTTGTCTGTCAGATTGTTCCATTGTTTGCTAGCCTGGTACGTAAAAGAATGTTGCATATAAGATGAGGTTGGTCTTGGAAGAACAACCTTAAGATGGCCACGTAGGCTGTAACCATTACTTCGCAGAGAAAACAATTCCTGAATGTAGTTCGGTGTCTGGTTATGAATACTTTTATATACAAGTATAAGTGCTTGTTCTATGCGTCGATGTTCTAAACTTTTAATATTTGCAGTTTTCAATAACTCTTCGTAAGCAGTCGACTTAGAATAATTGAGAAGAGTCCTCAGAGCGAATGCATTGGTTGACTCCAGTTTCGCAGACAGACCCTTACTTAGACCTATAAACAGTGGTGATGCATATTCGAAGTGAGGGAGAATGAAAGCTTTGTACAATTTAATCATCACATCTGAGGGTATAAATTTACGAATGCGACGGAGAATTGAAACTTTTGTATTCACTTTCCGGCAAACTTCTTTAATGTGTACGTTGAAAGAGAGTGAATTGTCGATGACTACTCCAAGAAGCTTCATATGTGTAACGTAATCCAGTTCATTACTGTCAATAACAAAGGGCGTTGGTAAAGTTGCTCTGTTGAAAACTATGGATTGAGATTTACTATGATTGATCGCCAGAAAGTTCTCACAAAACCAGGAAGCGAGTAGACCAACGTTGTTTTGTAGATTTATTTGCAAGGTAGATGGACAGAGGTTTGAAGAGTACCCAGTAGTGTCATCAGCATAAAATCTTAGAGAGCACGAAATATCTGAAAAATTCACATCGTTCATGTATATATTGAAGAGAAGGGGGCCCAAGATTGAGCCTTGAGGAACTCCACACCTCACAATTTGCCAATCCGACAAAACACCGTCAGTCTTGACATGTTGCTTACGGTCAGTCAAGTAAGAACGTAGAAGTTGTAAGGCGTCTTTAGTTACACCATAAGCTGACAGTTTTGCAAGAAGCAAATCATGATTGATAGAGTCAAATGCTTTGGAGAGATCTATGGTAATTGCTGCAGAGTGTTCGCTAGAGTCTAATTTTTTCCTAATGTCTTCGAATGTCTTGAGAAGGGCTGTCGTACACGAGTGTCCTTTCAAGAAACCAGACAAATTCCCGCTGAGAAAGTCAAGAGAAAACTCATATAACTGATCAAAGATAACTCTTTCCGCTACCTTTGAAACAGCCGATAATACAGATACAGGACGATAATTAGATTTTAAAGTCTCAGTTCCTTTTTTATAGATCGGGGAGACAATAGAGGTTTTCCAATCTGTAGGCCAGGAGCCACTAACAATGCACTGGTTAATTAATTTTGTGAGAGAACTGAAAATTCTTGGCCCAGCAAGTTTCAGCAGGCGTGGAGAGATTCCGTCAGCACCGGTGGCTTTGTTGATTTTGATAGTAGAAAGTATCCTTTTGATATAGGAGTCCTGAACAGGAGTAAATGAGAAGCTCGTTTGTCTTCCAAGCTTCCGTCTAATGGATACAACACTTGGATGTGTCTTGAACTCTTCTGGCTGTAAGTTGGGCATGTGGCTAGCCGGTCTAGGTACTGCATTAATGAAATAATCATTTAGAAGATTGGCGATATCAGTACTATCNGGTAGGTGATTTTGAAAAAAAAATTTCCTGTTAGTGCTTTTAGGAAGAAAAAAAATTGCATGCAGCCCAAATGTAACAGAAAAAAATTCTTGCGTTGCTGTAAGAAAGAAAAAAAAAATGTGGAAAGCTGTTTCATCACTCCAGGGGTGGCTTTACAAAATCGCAGCAAAACTGCAACCATTGCTCCTTTTGATGACGCTGAAAAGTTATTGCTTCATACATGCAATGCATTATTAGCTATCTTCAGCAGTATTATTCAGCATTTACCAGGCGATGAGCATTTCTAAACTGCTTTCTGCTATTTTTGGCTTTTTTTTTAATTAAGAAACTAAACGTTTTCACATCTGCCTGTGGTGCATCACTTTATTTGATGTAATATAAAATGATTGTAAAGAATGACTTTCCGAAAACATAGCTATATTAGAACTATTGCTGCAATGACCACAATGTAAATGTAAATACATTTTGTATATGTAAACACATCACCTTTTTTTGAGGAAAAAAAAACCCTGCAGAGAAATCAAGAGGGAAAAAATATCCAGCAGAACATTGAGAATGGAAAAAAATATCCTGCCGAGCAGATTGCTAGAAAAAATTTTTTTTTTGATGACCAGAAATCACCTTCCCCTCCCCCCCTCAAAATTTAAATGGTCGGCCCCTAATTCAACATGGAATGTAGTTGTCACATGACCTATGCCCTGCTTGGGGTACTGGGTAGCTATCTCCTCCACCAAACTTCATCAGTCCTTGAGGGAAGCAAAATTACTGCTAATCCAAAATTCGTGAATTCTGTAAAAGATGGGCGTGATTCATTAATTTATGAACCAGTGCGAGGCATGATTAACCTCTTGAAATATGTTACATGTGCACAGATTTGAAGTCTTCTCTCCATCAACATTACATGTAGGTGGGAATTTTTCTAACATCTGTGCTTGAAACAGTGAAGATCAGCATCTCCCCCTCCTCCATTTTGTTACCCATATTTCCTTGTAAAGAGCAAGGTATTTAAGATTTAATGGTAGTCACTGTCGAAAAATCTCCAGTTTTTAACAAAAGATGTAGCTCAGCAGGCATCAGCTCTTTGACCTGTAAGAGTGACTATATGAATAAAGGAAATGATCACCAACTCAAGAGCTCTTGATTGTTAAACAAATTCTCCTTGTCAGCACCTTAGAAAATGTATGGAGAACAGTATGGAGAATATGCATGCTGATGTTAGGGTGTAAAGGGTTAAACCTTTCACTCCCAGAAGTGATTAACATGTAACTTCTCCCCATTATACCCATACACGATCCAGCAAACAGGCAATGAGAATACTCAAACTTATCAGGTAAAATTTGTTACCTTGATTGAACACCAAATTCTCATAAGCAATTTACAAGGAAATGTGTAGCGGCTAGAGGGGGGAATTCATAATCAGATCTTGGGAGTTAATTGGGTTAGAAGATGAAAATATTTTTAGTTTTCTGCTGATTTTCTGCTGTTTGAACTTGCAAACAACATGATAATAAGCTCCTTAAGGATGAGTTCTGTTGTAATTATTGTCTTTAATTGTAAACAGTTTACTTTAAAAGTATACTTTAAAAGGTACTCAGCTTACACATAGCCATAAAATGAAAACTACAAAATTTGTGAATTTTGCACCTAATTTTTTTTTAATCTGCAGGTTGCTTTTACTGGTTCATTTGGTGTTTTTATTACTTTGAAGAAATTGCAGAAGTCACCAGGAAATGTAACTATTCCTCAATACTTAGTAAGTGTAAACTTGCATTTTAGTTACTCATTTTGAACCTGATGTATGCATCATAATGTGGTTACCATGAGTATAGAATTCATCAATGTTTACTAAAGAGTAAACACGTCTTCACAGTTCCCTTGGTGCCATGTGTTTTCCAGTGAACCCTTTCACTCCCATCAGTGATCAAGACAGAGTTTCTCCTTATAATGCCAATAAAATATCAAGAACACAAGTGATGAGAATAAAAAGATATAAACTAGTGGATTATTAGTTGATCAGAAACCAAGTTCTCTTTAGAGAAACATCATAAGAATCACATCACAGACAGTAGAGAGAATTACTAACTGAGATTTAGAAGTGAAAGGGTTATAAGTAGTGGTTACCTCAATATTTTTTATCTTTTATTAAGTGTAAACTTAGCTGATCATTTTATTCTTGTTAATATATATATGCCATTTATTGTGGTTGCCATGATCAAGTTCTTCAACAGTATGCACTGTACATACATATATACGCTAATTGACCACTACCCAGGGGCTTTTCAGGGTCATTCGTACAAATACCCACCCACCCCATCCCAGGGGAGGACATTCACCACACAGTAATCTTGTGTGTGGGAAATTAATGTCTCTTCCCCGTAACCCTGCAGGAGACGGGACCTATGGTTTATTCATCCTTTTCTGAGAAGACTAGAATATCCATTTCTTGATATTATAGAAAGGTATCTAGCACATTCTCTTCAGTTATTTTAAGACTAGTTATTTTATGAGTGTTGGTCCGGGCGGGGCTTGAAGCCTTGACCTTCCGCACAACAGTTTATTTTGTTCTTTGGGTATGCCATTTCATCAGTTAAACTTTTAGTTTCAGAGTAGTCTTGGGTTCTCATTTTAAACTTGATGTAATTGCTTTTCAATGTGGTTGCCATGATAGACTTCTGCAACATGTAGTCATCGTTTAACAGTTACAACTTGTTTTAAATGGTCATTTTTACTTTGTATAATGCTATCTAAATGGTTAGCCCGAGATTCTTTAACTTCAGTTGTAAGCTAATACAGTAGTTGTTCATTGCTGCATTGTTTAAAGTTAGCTTAAGATAACCCAGGGTTTGTGTGAAATGTGATTTCAGATCTAATAGCTAAAAAAAATTCTTCAGTATATTTCTTTTTCGTCTAGAGTTTGATTATTGGATGCTCTTAAAAAAGACTAACAGAATAATGCCTAAAAGGCTTTTGAATAAAAGGCTATACTTACATAGTAGAAACCCAGATTACAATTTCAACCTCTGGTTAGCTCTAATAGGCCTTCCCCTAAAAGAACTGGGTCAAGATGTACACTATTTATTGTGGTTGCCATGTGTGACATGTCTGTTGTCGCAGTGTTATTTGCATGTAACTTTACTTTTGAAGGGGGCCAGGTTAGAGCACATACCATTGAGAAATTCTGTTGTGCGTGACCATTAGAATTATATCATGCCTTCTGGAGTATTAGTGAAGGCACAGTGGCCTCATGGTGGGTGCGCTTGACTCCGGATCAAGTGGTCTGGGTTTGAGCCCCGGCCAGGGACACTGTGTTGTGCTCTTAGGCAAGACACTTTACTCTCACAGTGCCTCTCTTCACCCAGGTGTTTAAATGGGTACCGGCAAATTTCATGCTGGGGAGTAACCCTGCGATGGACTAGCATCCCATCCAGGGGGGAATAGAAGGTCACTTCATGCTAGTCGCTTCATCCTAGTCGCTTCATGCTACAGAAACCGCAGTTAAGCACCGGCCTGATATGGGCCACTAACTCATAAACAGACTTTACCTCTTTTTTTCTTTTTTTTTTTTTATTTCTGGAATATTAATGTGTTGTGCTAAGTATTCTTTTCTTTTAGACAATTCTGTTAAGCACATAGTTCGCATAGAAAATAGGGCTTTTTGGACCTACATGTGTAGCAAAGTTTGCTTCGGCTCTCAGAGAACTTCCAAGTTTAATTAACTGTGTTATTGTTATTGTTTTTTTTTTATTCTTCTTGAGAGTCTAAATTAAATACTGAGGAAGGTAAAAGAGTGAAACTTTTGCAAACTCTCTTTTTGTATTGTAGGTCATGACACTGATGGGTTTCTCCCTGACCTGTGCTATTCTCTCAAGGATGATCATGCTTAGTTATGGGCCAGAATTGGCTACGGCAGGCCATAAGTCATTTCTTTACTACACCCCCAAGAACTATCATGATGGTAACATGATGGATTTTGTTGTGGTTAAAGCACCTCTTACAGTTGATTCTCGTTTCAATGAGGAGCATGCCTTGGTGGGCTCCATCTTTGCATTCACTTTTCTGGAACTGATAACAGCATTATGGTCTGCTGCCCTTTGCTTTGTCAATGATCAGAAGCCAACAGACAAGAATGCGGATGTAAGTTTCACATTTGATGATTCATTGATAAAGATATTGATACATAGGTAGAAATGAAGAAATAATTCAAGCAGGTAAGCTGAAATTTTAGCCATCGCAGAAAAGAAATACTATAAAAGAGGCCTAAAAAGCTCAGGCTTTGACAAGCTTCAAACCCATGCCCTATAGATACTGGCGGCTGTTACTGACTAAGCTACTTATACCAAGTTTAACAGATAGGTATATATGAAGTATGCATTTTAGTTGAGATTTCTCGATGGGAAAGGAGAACCCTCAATGTTGATGTTTGGCTAATTCTAGCTGATAGTCATCAGTATCTGGGAGGCACTGGTTTTGAATCCCATCAACGCCTAAATTTTATTGTCTTTTCCTCTCCAATGTCTTAAATTAGAACCCACCAGCGAGCTAATTTCTTTACTTGATTGGATTGCAGTTTAGTGACATCCACTCCATAGTCAAAAACACATATTAATCTCATAAATTAATACAGGATGGTCAGTACCAATATTTCATTGCTTAAGTAAATCAAGAGATAACTCACACTCCTGAAATTAAGAGTTACATAAGTATCATATATGAGTTCAAAATTTTTATAAGACATCAATCATACAATAAAAACGTGACGCTTGTCAAAAACTGGTAATTTTTTTAAGGCTGTTGTTATATAATGATACCATAATAAAAACTGTAATAATAATAATGTTGATGATGATAATAATTATAATTATAATAAAGGTAAAGTCTGTTAACGACCCAAGTGCCTTGTCAGGTGGGCACTTATCTTCGGTTTCCGTAGCTTGGTGATAACCCCCCCTGGATAGGATGTCAGTCCATCGTAGGGTTACCTCCAGCATTAAATTTAACCATGAGGCCACCGCGCCTCCCATTGTTTATTATTATAGTAATATATATCGATAAGTAATTCAAGTTTTTCTGTAGTTCTAATTCAGATTGTGTCCTCCATTCACCTTTAGTTTGAAGTTGATCCCTTGATGGACAGTGTTGGACAAAGCCAACAAGCTGGTGGTGCATCCATGCTAAATGTGTAGTTATCGACTAATAGTTTGCATGTTGCCGCGCCTCTTTTCAGTAACAGATCATAGATAGCATCAAAATGTGGTTATAGGACAAATTTACGGGCTAGCTACACTTGGCGAAATAACCACGATAACTCGTATGTGTCTAGATTCTTTGTAACGTAATACCAACTACAACGATTTACATTCATCTATCTAACGATTCGAAGTTATTGGACTTATTGCTTCTCCGAAAAAGAAACTACGAACGCACATGACGTGGGAAACTGCACCCTCGATGCATGTCAGCGGCACTTATCACTTCACGTGAACTTAACGAATCGTACAGCAAACACTTGGCACACGAGGTGCAGCCGAGTGTATCACTAAAATAAATATGTTCTTACCACATTTGAAGTCATCTCTGATCCACGGCAACAAGATCTAATTGTTTTATACATGTATGGGGAAATTGCAAGATGTTCTTAATGGTGACGTCCTCTGTGCATCTGTCCTCCAATAGATCACTTGTAAGATGCAATTAAAATGCATGTATGATTTAGCTTTTATAATGATAACTAGATCATTATAGTAGTATTGTGACTTATGGGCTTTACAGTGAGCAGTGTCTCTCATCATATGCTGAAATCAATTGCGCCACGTAGGTCACAAAAAATCGTTGTGCAATGCATCGTGATGTTTCCAAAATAACTATTGTTGCCATTATTATTAGACTTATTGCGTAGCATCATCTAAATTCTAAATTCCAACCAAATTCTTCGCCATCCTTGCTTAGTGTGGTGCTAGGCAGAAACTAGTGTTTGTTTCTAACAACGCGTTGTCCAGCTTCCGGCCGTTTTGAGATCGTAGATGTTGTGACTTCTTATCAGTACACGTGCAGGGATTCACCGCACCCTAAGGGTGCAGCAACCAATCTTAAAAGTAAGTTCCCCACTATCTGATAACACCCCAGTATTTTACTTCGAGTTAAAAGGAAAAAAAAAAAAAAAAATATATATATATATATATATATAAACCCTCTGCCCATCCTTATCCATAAACAAAAACATTAAAGTGGTAGTTGTGTTGTTTACTCGAGCTGGTTGGTTTTTTACAAAATATATTTGTTTGAAAACTCTTGTTGTTTTTGCTTAATTTCGTAGGTTTTTTATTGGTTAAGTTCTTACTGTGTTAAATACTCACCACAACTGGCCAGAAGTTAAATAGAAAATGATTAAGTTACATTTTGATCTTCGAAAAGTTTTCAAGAAGCAAAGCGAGAAGCCAGCGACTCGGCAAGTTTCAATCGTACATTTTTCAGAATTATCGAGACAAAGCTAAGTAGTTTACTGGCCGTGAATTTCATCAGTCTTCTACGCGGCTCTCGTATACGTACATCCAAGAAATTTAAACGTGTTTCGCTGCGAGGCAGCAAATTTAGTATTTCTTTTAGTTTAATTTTAGGAATATTGCTTGGTGGCTTTTTCCTTTTTTCATTTACAGTTTTCGAATTAGTCTGACTTGATTGTGATAAAACCGATTTTCGTCGTGCACAAGTGTTGTCCACTATGTTGTTGTAGAATGAGTACATGCTTTAAACTGTGCGTATGTCTCCAAACTCCAAACTTCCCGCGTGCATCCATATTTCGATATTCGCACGCTAAGCATGAATCAAATCAATTCGACAATTCCACAAGAATTTCACAAAGCTTCCACTACACCTTTCCTGTAAGCAGAATAGATGTTTGCAACAATTTTTTTTTTAACTTTCTTCCTTTTTTATTATTGAAAGTGTGTGCCATTGATCAGAGCCACATGATGAAACACGGGTAAGTGTTTCTGACGGGTAACTGATTTGCAATGCGTAAAATTTCCGCTGTCTGTTCCCGAGGTCTAATACTTAGACTGGGAAATCATTCAACATACTGGATACCTGAACAAGGTTAAAATGAAGGTTTTTAACTTCTTCATGAAAAGTGAGTAAAACGACACAAAATATGTAGTCTATTGTGTCCACCAAGGAGTCAGTTAATAAAACTGCGGAGTTGTTTTGGACTCTCACCAGAAAACACACTGAAAGGCTTACTATTAACACACAAGGTTCTCACCGAAAACTGACCATCCAACCAAACTTAAGATGGCTATTTGTGGAAACAAAAGCAATAATTGAATTAATACAAGGACGACAAACCTTTTTGAGCAGCTCCAGATTTTCTGTTGTATTCCTTCATAGTTTTTGTTGTATTTTTATCGTTGTTTTGGTAAAATTGTTTCTGTCATAGAATAAGAGACAAGTTACCAACACTTTTAAAGACAATTGCTTTTGAACTTTGTAAACCTTGACATAGAGAAACTACTGGAGGCTAATTTCTTATTTTTTTAGGTGCAGCTGTTATTACAAGGAACCAATGAGAACTCAGAGATTAAACAAGCACACTGCTTGAAGCGCGGGAAAACGCGACTGACCCAGTTGTGTTCAGTTTAAGTTTTGATTCTGATTGGTCAAGAAGGGTTGCAAATTTTCTAAGCCAATCAAATGGCAAAATAAACCAAAACCCAGGTAACTCTGTTATATTATTGACACGCACTGAAAAGTGCTATCAAAATTTTGTTCAATAAGAACCAATCATTGCAAGAGATAGGTGACTAAAAGTCGTTGAAAGTCCTATAAAAAAATAAATTATCGTGGGAAGAAGACTGAAAACCTTTCCTGAGGAGAACCCAAAGATGAAGCCTCACTGCTGTCCATTGCTTTCCTCTCCTATCGTTCTGTTACAGTTTCTTTATGGAGGCTGGCTTTACACCTTCACAGTTGCAAACCATGCTGAATTCATTTGACATTCCTATATTTTAGTTAAATAAACATCTTATTGATCTTCCAAGGGAGGCTTCTTAATTTTCTTGGTTGTTTCTTGAGTGTCTTTTGGCGGCAGAAGCGTTGGTCCAATGGTCATTGCGTTCGACTTCAGATTGTGAGGTCCAAGCCTAACGCAATCTTAAAATGTTCCTTACGCTATGAAAAACATATTAAACAACTCAAAGAAGAGTTTCCTTTGACTACTAAAGTTAAAAACTTATGGATATTCGTATCTGAGGAAATAAAGGAGCTCTCTTCAACATCCTGAAAAAGCCCCTTTGGAGAACGTTCCTCAATACATGATCACTCGCATGGTGTAAATCCACAGCAGGAAAAATTCTAAGGTATGGTGGACCTGGAACTCAAAGAAAACAACACCAGCCTAACCTTAACCGGCACAGTTTGGCGGGTTTGCTTGCCGCACTGAAAGCGCAAGCTATTAAAATGCTGAAGCCGATCTAGGTTTTTAAGGAAAATTAACTTGAGAAACATAATGTAAGCAGTGGAGGCAAGATATCTCCTGTTTATCCCTTCCATTAAGTACTGCGTGTAATTAAGAAGATTTTAATCAATGTGCCACGTTTACGGATATGAACTGTAATCGTTTATTTATGTAACTCTTTCCTTTTTAGCACAAAGATACTAAGAAACTTTCAATGACTGTCTATTAAATTTGTTAGCACGCTTTGTTTGATTTCTATTCCATGTTTAGCGAATATCCACTCGAAGCTATCTACACAAAGCATTGTTCATTTCTATTTCCCTTACGTCAAAGTGTAAGAACTAAATTCGCCTTCTATTAGCACGTTGTTCAGTTGCGAGGAGTCTTTGTAGCGAGACCATTTGGGAGCCAAGCGGAGTTTAGGAGTGCTCTACCCCGTTGTTAAGATTCGATGTAAGTTACACTGATAATATTCCTCATTTTTATCATTTCTAGTTTCGCCCTATTCGTTTATTTGTAGCCTTTCGGTCTTCCTTATATCGAACCTTCATGTATCCGTTCCATAGTTTTTACCGCCTGTGCTGTACAAAACCTGCCAGCTTAAGTGAATAAAGAGTTTGATGCTGCTACTTGTCCAAAGTTCATCACTGTGGTTATACTGGCGAACTCCGGTGCACAACACTACGTGTCTGCGGCATCGGGAACGCGACACAATGTGTCATTAATAATTCACAGAAAGAGCCAAATACTGTTTAGTTCGATGAGGATAAATGTTAAAACTAATAATAGGGAAAAGTGCTCAGAGTTCGTCACCAAAACGTCATTAGAAGTATCTGAAGGCTGTCTTCCTTTAAAGGCTGATAGTTTCGAAAGAAACTGTTTGGGACTGCGTCGGTGGGAGTAACGAAATAATTTGGATATATCAACAAAGTTGAAGTGGTAAATTAACCACCGTAATGATTTCAAAAGCTGACGTTTCGAGCGTTAACTCTTCGTCGGAGCGAATAGAGAAATTATGGGTTGTGTGTGCTTTTAAAGGCAGAGAATGGAGCTACGTTATTGGTGGGAGCATGGCAACGAGAAAAACATAAATAAACTAGTGGAATGAAAAGCGTTCGTTGATCCCTGTGGGATTTAGACTACCGGTTTGAAAGATGAGCTTTTGTCCAAGATTTTTACGGCTTCCCGTGCCACCTAAGTGCAAGGAAAGACCGCAGATTGCCTTAGTGTTCAATTAGTGTTCCGCTCATTTCATTCAAACGCGACTAAAACATAGGCAATTTTTTGGTCAGAAGTTCTTTTCAGACTAATGACCAACCAGGCACTTTTAAATGCGCTCGTGCATGATTCAAAACGTGTCCTTTCATTCACAACCCTAAGAAAATATCGGGACCCAAACGATCCATTAAGATCACCGATCACTTC